GGCACCATTGTGTTCCTCGCGAACTTTTATACAAGAATCAACAGTCAAATTGCAAATTCCTCGCACATGTAACATCTCCATTGGGCCAAAATGCACCGATATCAATACCTCATATGTTACTTGGTTCCTCGAAAATTCTCCTCTTGGACTTAGCCTAAAAGTGTGGACACTTTTTAGCCTCCGGCGAAACCTAGAGTCTATACGGCTTCGCCGCACGACTAAAAAGCAACTAATGAGGAGGAAAAAATCTGAAATATTACAAGGACCTGAAAGGAAAAAATAGGAAAAAACATTAGAAAAAGAAATTTTTTATTCTTAAGATCAACGATGAACAGAATTTTTCTTAAAAGTAAAAGCAACATTTTGCCGTGTGCGATCCACGAACTGACAGAGTATGTTGATTTTCAGCCAATCGCTACATCACCTTGATGAACCAAAATCTAAAATCCTTTCTCCGTCGGATTTCCGAGATCTCCATGTTAAGACACTTAATTGCGTCAAGCATGACTTAAGCATAAACGGATCAGAATGAGCCTCATGTTAAATCACGGTTGCCAAATTGTATTGAAAAATCAGCATATTTTTTGCTGAGTCTCGTGGAAACTAGGTATGCTAATTTTTAGTAAAATTCGAAAACCATGAGCTGAAAAGGAAGCTGGATCTACTTTAGACCATGTTAATGATAGGTTTTCTTCTCCATTGTGGAAGAGATAACTGTGCTTAGGCTGTAGATAAAATGATGAAGAAACATTGTGGGATGAAAGGTAGAAAATAGCTCTCAGGTGTTGATAAGACGTTACATCATTACAAAGATTGATTCCTCAGTCTTTAGGAATTGAAAATCCTCTTCATCAAGTAAGAGGGACTTCAGAAATGCAAAGAGATGGATACACACGCAAAATAAAATAAAATCATGAATGAAAAAACACTATTCTAAAAGGTTAAGCTTTAAAATCATTTTTCCTATTTTATTTGTACTTTTAAAATTGACGGTCACTTCTATTGTACATTATGACTAAGAATGTATCATGAAATAATTACTGCAGACAGCATTTTTACAGGAGGCATGTCTATTTCAAATTGATTCTCACGGAAGTTGATTTCTTTACATTAGAAGTTAACTAAATTGAATAGATTTTTGGACTCTGAATCTTTAGTCAAATATATTTTTTTCTTCTAATTGATAAAGCTTTGCAACTGCACTGCTCAGCCCATAGAATTCTAAAATGAAACTAAAATCTTAAAATTATTTGATTTTTGCGGAAAATTCATATTCATAACTGAATCCAACCGATTTGTCTTAACTTTTATACTATAATAAATTCAATTTGTTTCGATTTTTATCCCAAAATTGGTATTTTAAAAAAAACCCATTCCTACTTTATGAGGAAGCTCCTAGAGTTCCTAAATTTTATATTTATCACAGATGAACAATCATTCAAACAGCAAAGTATACATAGTCTTAGTAAAATGTATCAACAAGCATAAAGCGTCAGTCACACAACTCGCACAATGATGATTAACTATGGTTAGAAATGGTTGAAAAATACTTGCAACATAGTAAAGCCAAACATGGCTTGTCGTATCATTCAAACCCATGTACACTCTTCAAAACGATGTTTTTCAAGAATAAAAATGGACAGAACACTCCCTGCACATTATTTTTCTATTAAAATTTACGTTCATTTATTAGCCACCAAACATCATGAATCATAGCTGCGGTCAAAAATGTGATTGGCCTGTCTTAGCATTTTTTGCTTCAGAAAAACTCCATGACCATTCAACAATTAAAATGAGTAGTCGTTGAATAACGAACAATAAACAGGGGTTTGCATAGTTTACTCCAGATCTAACGACCGAATGGGTGTCTTTGTGTTTTGTTTATTTTTTAAGACAACGTGCTTTTGATGTTCAGAACTTAGACTCTACGAGGAACAGCTTTCAGTAGAATTCATTAAGACGGGCCTTCAGCTTTTGCACAAAACACTCTAGTTACGATTGACATATTTCAAATTATAACCATAAGGTGGATTATTTTAGAAACATCAAAATTTTAGTCTATAGATTAATCATTAGGCGATGACCAGGATAAAAATCATCCTCCAAAATCTGAGCATAAGGTCAAAAGTACTGTTCCCATTTTGCAACCGATTACAATGTATCAATATCGATGGTTAAATGGGAAAAGTACTTTTGACTTTGTTTTTTTAGATTTTGGAGGATGATTTTTGGATGTACATGCTTCAATGATTTATGTTCTACAACTGAAATTTCGATTTTTCCAAAATTATTCACCTAAAGGTTAAAATTTGAAATATATTGATCCTACCCAGAATGCATTACACAAAATCTTACAAGAGGGAGAAATGCATCTGCACCTTTTAGAACAAACTTAGTTGGAAAATTGAAGAGGATCAGACTAAGAGAGGGCTGTCCAATACACCGGACCCTGCAGCAACTCCACCTTCATCTGCGTTACTTAATTTTGATCGCAACATGTGACCTGCTTGTCGGTTTACTTGGATGTGATCAGCATCCCTGCACACAATAAAAAAACGCATTAAAGGGTCTTCTTTAAATTTTAAATACGGTCTTGTAAAGCTGTGTAAGATCCCCCAAAGCACCTAAACCGAAAAAGTTTTTTAAGATTTTACGTTAGATTTGACTTTTCCACATTCAACGCACTTTAAGTACCGAAAAAAACTCAGGCGAACACAAAGATTAGACTCAGCCACTTGAAGATTGCTAATGAACACATTATGGGTCAGTTATGCTGGTCACAGAATCTTGTTTTGATGCTTTATTCTTGCAGATCAACTTAAAATAATAATGATAAGAGAGCGAGGACAATAGCCCCAATGCAGACAACAATAAAAACACACTAAAATACAAAAACAAATGGGGTGTTTGCACACCCCATGAGTGGTGTGTCAACATTGAGTTTGCACTGATTCCTACCTCGGTCAGTTGCATGCTCATTTTCTTGTTTTAATTTTTACATTTTTTAGCTTTTGTTCCAGTTGAGAATGGGCATGTGATTGGCCCGAAACGTCCTGGTTGTTTATTTATCCTCTATAGCCTTGTATACCCATTTGTTTTTGTATTTTAGTGTGTCTTTATTGTTGTCTTAAAATAATGAGATATGTCCATTTCTTAGCTGCAAATGCTGTCCATTTCTACGTATTAACTGAGATATCACGCCTCTAAAAACTCCTGTGATCAGATTAAAATGCATCAAAACACTCTCTAGGAATATAAAGGACGATTAGACCTTTCCAAACTTGCACTAGGGAATGTAAGAGAGCGTTTTTCCCACTAAAAATTTACAAAGGTGAATTTTTACTTTCTTTTCCATTTCAAGACTAAGCATCCAACCTTTGGTGGCTGTTTTCTGTAAGTGTCCAAACATGTTTGGTGGTGACCTGGGCTGAAAGTACAGACCTGAAAAATGCTGCAAATACAGATAAAACTTCCAGAGAGGCAGAAAAGCTGTAGAAACTGCAGGGAAAAAGTGGGGAAGAGGTGCCTAATGTCTGCCAGAAAATCGAGCACTGGATGACTTAAGCTCAATTACGGTTAGAGGTGTCGTCAGATAAGTTGGCCATTGTTTACTTTCGGTTTGCAGGCGTTTTCGTGTCACTACTGTCCACATGAAAACATCTAACTCTCGCAGAGGCGAGAACACAAGCTTGGATAGGTTTTTTAATACCTTCAAAGCTTGTAACATTTCAATTTTTAGCCACACGGAAAGCACAACAACATAAAGGTTGCAAATCATAATTGATAAGTAGTTTTTTTACAATACAATCATGAGACGGATGTTTCTAAGGTGGATAATTGCAAACGCCGCTTTGAGTAGAGGCGTAAATTTGTCGTTGGCACTTGCAAACCGAAAGTAAACAATGGCCAACTTATCTGACAACACCTCTACTTCCAAACGATTAGTCAACCAAGCCTTGAAACCATCCCGAATCTAATGTTAAATGCCAATCAAACTCACCCTATGATCACACCAAAAATACCCAGCTCAGATACGATGTCAGCAAACATAGGCTCTTTTTCACCTGGGCGGACTAAGACGTTTTTCTGGACTGGTGGAAATATTCGCTCCATTAAAATCCAAGCTTTTCGCTCTTCACTGTGCTGCATATCTTGCAATACCTAAAAAAAGTGCACGCTTGAATCAAGTGTCAAGGTATCAAACGACAAAACAAATTATTACATAGGGCTAGAACTACAGTACAACAAGACACATTCCCTCATCCGAGCATTCACCTAAACTGAAAAAATACATTGAAAATTAACTTTGAGAATTCACCTCGGTGTTGGGTTCATGTGCTAAATGTGGTATGCAATGTTCAAAGATGTTATGGTTGTGTCTACTTTAAATTTCTCACGACTTTTATAATTTTAAATTTTAGTTAGCTCAAACGGTAGAACCATCGTATATTTCTTTGAATTTCATTCACCTCTAATTTTCAGACTTTCTGTTTCTTACGATAGCCTATGCTTCTAGAGAAGAGAAAATACAAGGGTAGATTTTCAAGTAAATACACTGATTTAATATCTCTAACACTATTGATGGTAGAAAGAAAATCAGACCGGATTTAGAACGACCATATCCTCTGCTTTTTAACGAGCTATAGATTTTAAAATTTGGTACTTGTTGTGCGAAGTAAAGACAGCTGGTTGTTCACACAAACAGTAACTTCTGCAGGAGTTACAAGTGATTTTCATCTTTTTTCGGAGTTAAAAAAACAGCATCTTGGTGGCAAGCAGTTTGGCAGTGATGCAGATGTTACTGTTATTGACAACAACTGACTGAGGGCTAACGAAAAGCACTTTTACAAGACCAAGTTGAAGAAGTTGCTAAACTGTTTTCAAGAATGCAAGAATTAGATAGGTGACTACGTTGAGAAGTAAGGTAAGAAGTCTTCAATCAGTTTCGCAACTTTTGCACCAAAAGAATAAATTGCTTTTACTTCTTCACGGACTTATACTTAAGTTTTCTCTTAAACCATACAGCATGGTAAAGTGGGTACGTTTGGACAAGAGGTGGATATGGTATGTCATTACTCTGCATGTGTACGAAATTTTAAAACTTACACTTTGTTAGAGAGCTGAGAATATGGTCGTTCTAAAACCGGTCTAGTTTTCTTTCTAACATGAATAGTTTTAGAGATATTAAGTGGGTAAACTTACTTAAAAATCCACACTCGTGCATGATTTGCTTGATTCATTTTCATTAAGTAGAGAGAAAATAATGACATCAGAAGTTGAGAAGAGTTCAAACCTTTCGAATATTTTCTCCGTAGACATTATTTCCTCCACCCTCTCTTTGTGGCTTTAATACAAATTTTGCCGGCTCTTCAATCCCCATTTTGACGGCTGCATCTCCTTCAGCATCCTAAGACAAATATATTAAATAAGTGACATGAAGCAAATTTATTCAAATTATCATGCATAAATGTATGAGCATTAAAATAAGTAGGTGCTTGTAGAGCGTAGCAAAATCGACAGCGTCTGCAATCACATATCCTGTTTGCGGAGTCTGAAAATCTCCGCCTCAATGTTATTTGTTTAAAGGAGAACAAATTGACTTAACTCCTTGAAGTTTTTGCAGAATTTTTTTCGCACAGAGAAGAAAAATCACGGCAGTTTTAAAGATTTGCTGTTGAGTGGTTTTCCATTTAAAGAATAAAGTATGACAGGAAGTCTGCAACGTTGCAAACCAAGTTATGTGATTGCAAACTTACATAGTCAAAATAAATTTAGAATAAAGGAGTTTTTCAACTCAAAAGCATAGTCGAACTGGGAGAGGGGCTCCTTGAAAACATTTTCTTAGCCCTCAACCTACTGAGTACGGACCTCTCTTTATTCTTTCATAAAAAGACTTTCTACTATTTCTTTTCGAAGTACTTACATTGCTCATTTTGTACGTTTTTGGACTACTTTAATGAAGTATGTTTTAATTATTGTTAGCTCTCTAGTAAATTTTTCAAATCAATGCATTAAAAGGTACAGAGATGGCGACTGTTTGCAGCAATCTAGTGTTTTTGTCTTGCTGCCAGCTCTCTAAGTTGCCTCTCGGAAACATGTTTGATCTTGGGGCATTGGGCAAGAAAATTTTAGGGCTCCATACGATTGCGTAAATTTTAGTGGTCTCTGCTATGGGCTCATTGGAAATAGTACAAATATTTAGGAAAATTCAGTCACTTTTCAAAGCTACATTCAGGAATTTCAAATTTCCTTTGAGGTAAAGATGCTTGATGTCTCAGTTTCGACTCTCATGATATTAAGATTCTCTTTCCTATATACCTGTACCAACAAGTAAAAGGAAAAAATTACTACTTACGAGATCCAAAGAATAAAGTCCAGTAAAGATTTTCCTGATAGATTTGATAGTGTCCTCATCTTTCAACAGTCTCTCTAAAACATTTGGACTTGCAAGAACTTGCTGTACCTGTGCAAGCACCAAAATAATGAGTATGAATCAGTAAAACTTCTGAGCCTAAATGTTTGTCAAGATTTTAAAACAAACTCTTACTTCCTTTAAACATTTTCAGGCAGCAAATCGATAGTGAAACCTGGGAAAGGCCATTCTCAATTACAGCGCTAAAATTCACGATCCTAGGTATTTTTCTAAGAGAGATCGAAGCAATTGAAATTTTCACTAAACACTTTCTACCAGAATATTTTACTTCATTTTAGAGAAAATAAAGTACGATAGGAGGTTTGCAATGCTGCAAACCGGTGTGTACATTACTGCAGTTTTACCATCAAAATGTGTGCTATTTGTTTGCAATAATATTATAAAAATATTAAACGTAAGTATCAGGTTGTTTTACGTGTTGATCATTGCCGTTTTCATTTTCTTCTTCTTCCTCTCTCGTTTCTCTGTAAAGTAGATGTCAGATGAAAATGGTATCCCCCAAAGAACTGATAAAGATAGAGACACAGAACAATAAAAGTTATTTATACCTGAAAGCTGTTAAATTAAAAAGAAAATTAACACTGAAGAAAAAAATTGATAAAAATGAAAAATTTTCAACAATGATCATTAAATGTAAAAAGAAAAGAGAATACATTGAGTGAATGCTCAATAAGTTTAGCGACTTGCGGGAGACGAAAAGTCTGTCTTCTAAAATCTTGAATTCAATTTCAATGTGACAATACCAACTGAATCTCTGTCACTTGACTGACTTTTTACGGAGTCAAAGTCAACCCACTAAGTGGGGAACTACACAAAATTCGCAGAGAAAATGAAAAATTGGCAAAATTCTAAATTTTGAGATTAAAATTTTTGCTTAAAGTTAAACATCGCCCATATGGTTTGTACTATTTCAGGTTTTCTGTCCCTCTTTGTTAGCGAACGCAAATTGTATTATATGCAGTTATCTGGAGCACTGGTATTTTGCTTTCTTGGATGAAAAAAGTGAGAAAGATGGTCAAGCAAATAATGACAGTTCAGATGGTCAAAGGTCATTCAGTCTCTTTCCTCATGCCGCTGGTTTTTCCAATTTTATTGTCTTGCTCAAGTTTACTATGCACACTTACTACCGTGCTGTTTGCCAAACAATGACTTAGACAGTACCTTTTCGGGCTAGGGGTAGTAAGTTTGGGTTATCTATAGCACCTTTGGTCTCAATTGCCCCGGATAGCAGGGTTCAGGGTTGCCATAATTTCCTCATCATCAAATTCCCTGACTATTTTTGCTTTTCCCTGACTCCAATATTTCGGATTCCTAGACTTTCCCTGACATTCTAATAAAACTTCCACTTTGAAATTTTTCCTTTTACGTTACACTCACTTCTGCGAAACGCACCTAGCAAAATTCCCTGACTTACCCGGTTTTCCAGAGCACGGGCAACCCTGCAGGTCTCTACTTTACTATTTCAACAATTGAGACAAAAATGACTCTTGGATATACAATCCCGATATGTAATTCTGATTAAGTAAAATGAATAAAAATAATTTTGTGAGATCACACTTACTTTTTTGGTGCCAGCTAGATGATATTGAATACTTGGACACTTGATTGCTAAAGACCTTTCAATTAGTAGACGCGCATCCCATTCCAGTTGGCTGGGATATTGAACGGGAGCATAGCCAGAACGATAGTAAGCTAAAGCAACTTCCATACCATCGCTGTAATTGAGAGAAAAATTGGCTCAAATTTTCATTCAGACATTATTTATCTATTCAGAACTTTAAAAGTTAACAAAATTAGGAGATAGAAAAGAGACTCAAATTCAGTGAAATTATGCCAGCAGGCTGGAAATTTAATCCTTGAAAAACTGAATTTCTGTTAGGAAAACTGAAAATTCTTTAACCAATCCATTCTAGATGATAAGATGCTCTCTTTTCGCAGTTGGAAGTTTGTGGAAAATATTCGAACATTCAAAAAATCTAGAATGATAATCTCATTAAAAAACCACCTAACTAGAGCGAGATTGATTAGACTGATTAATGATATAAGCAACTTTATAAGGGACTTCATCGCACTGTTCATTGAGATTTAGTTAGGGTTGTTTGCTGCGAAGAAAGTGGTAAAATCTGAAAAGCATTTATACATAATACCTTAAAATTTTTAGGAACTACTAAGAGGAAAAATGAAGAACCAATCTATTCTGGCAAGGAAACATGGTCACCTTACATTCGGCCCTTTTTTCCTTCCTTCTCTCACTCATGATGAAAAAGTCAAAAAGCGAAACTTTTATACTGTAAAATACTCAAGATGTAAGGTTGAAGGATCGGTTTTAAATTTGTACTCACATTAAAAGCTCTTTCTTTTTCCCTAAACTGGCATGTTTTCCTATTTCCGTTAGATTCCTCCTGACCACCTTTGCTGCGGGTTCTAGCTCCTGGATTTCAAACTCGTGAAACCGATGATCACAAATATTGTAAGTCATATCTTCGACAATGAATAAAATCACAGCACTGTAGAGATAAAAAGAGGAAAGAGTGAGGTAGAACTGATTAACGTTAAGATGACTGCGATACAAAGGAGTGAGAGATTCTTATTTTTTCTTTTATTTTCGCCAGGCAAACATTTTTTCGTTCTCCGATGTTTCATTCCGTATTGTTTGAACCATTTAAATGGCGTTTAATAGAAAGTGTATCGACATTGAAACTCCCTAACCATGAATCTCGTTTTGAAGTGTTTCAAAATCTCTGCTCCTGCTCTATTGTTTTAGAGGGGAACAAACTAACATCATTCCTTGAAGTTTTCTTGGAATTTGCTTCATACAGAGAGGAAAAATCACGAAAGTTTTTACGAATTGACGTTGTACATTTAAAAAATAAAGTATGACAGGAAGTCTGCATCGTCACAAACCGAGATTTGTGGTTTAGGAAATTCAAAATTAGGAAAGAAGCTTTGAAACATACATACATGTACCTTTAATTTTTAGACAAACATGAGGTATTTAGTTGTTGACACTCCCATAGGTATTTTAGAGTTATTGATTTCCTTGTGATCCTTGAACTCCTTTTACAGTTAATGACAACAATATTACTCGATGGGTCCAAAACATAAACAGTGGATGCCGAGTGTGTGAGTTTCGAGGAAATCTCTTTCAAAGTTCAAAAAGCTGTGAATTTTGATGTCCGTTAGGTAAGCAAATACGTTTTGGTCGAGGAATTTATCGCAAAGCAAATCTCCTATGAAAAATGAGCTTCAGAACTTCAAACTTGAAGCAAATTTCAATTGAGATACGGTGCTTTTGTTATGAATGAGTTGATTTAAAGAAAATTAATAGAATGAAATTAAAATACAATGCTGCACTTACTCTTTTTTACCGTACAGTTTCCAGGCATCAACCATGCCCTGGCAGAGAGCGGTTAAGGCATTATTTTCAGGTAGCTGTAACAGGAAAATGTGGAAAAATTAAGAAATTGAAACTTGTTAAGAAAGTTAGAGGGAGAAAATTAGTTTTTAAGTCAAAAAATAATGAATAATGTTTCTTTTGACAGAAATAAATACTTACAAGTGGGAAAAGCTAAAATTTTGAAGACCTCATTTCGTTTCCGCTAACGAAAAATAACCAATGCTATCAGATTTCCTAAATTTTCTAAAATTAGGTTTTTTTTAGATTTTCCAAGAAATTTAATGATTTTGCAAAGGACATTCTTTTAAAAGAGACGTCAAAATATATGATGTTTCACTTATTTTTCGTCTGAGGAAATGATAGTAAAATATCGACTTTACCAATAATGCAATATTGAAAAAAAAAAAAAAAAAAAAAATACTGAGAGAATCAACACACAGAATTGGAGACACAGAGGGTCAACATCGCTCGGTTGAACGAGGGAAAACTTTCCAAATTTCGAAAAATGACTGTACAGAGAGGATAAAATCCTTCAGTGACCAAGTCTAAAAAGAAAAAGAAGAGTAAAATAAAAAAAATCAAGGACAAAATTATGATTTTAACGCTGCAAATGTGTGTTAAGTATTTACCTGATTTATATTTTGAGTTTGTCCTATCTCTTGCAGCACAAACCTGTGGATAAAAAAGCAAGTTGTTACCTCCTTGAAACACAAATAAAGGAAAGAAAAATTTAAAAATTCATTTAAGCGTTGTCTTATAAATCGGTTATCATTTTATGTTAAGTCAAGACGTTTACCTAGTTTTTTTCCTTGGATTATGATTAGACGATCTTCAACATAATCCCTCAACGCACCAGAAAAATATGACCAATGAATCATTGGTACACAGCACAAAGTTGAATGATACTTATTGGTGATATACTTATTGGTGGTGAAACTAGGGGACATAATATCTTAAGTGTACTGTTTCAAATTACTTCTGTTTCACTGTTTTTTAAGAGAAAAACTAATCACTGTCCTTCCTTGAAAACATCCGCGATTGTTTTTTGAAAATGCAGGAGATTTTGAGAACATTTCAAACAATGAGTTGCTACGTTTATTCTTTTTCCAACAAATGAAATGGGGGCAAAATTTACTTAACTATCAAAGTACAGATTTATTCAAATTCATTATCAATGAAAAACGATTATATTAACACGAGTGCTAGTTTTTTATGAGGGAAGGAAAGTTACATTGAGTTGTGTGTTGTGTAAAGGCTCCTCCTTTTTCTGTTTTAACACAATTTCACAAAACCCTGATGTTTTTTGGAGATGATTCTTGTGATACTTAACAAAATATTTGATTCCTGCCTATTAATTTATTTCACTCCCTATGGGAGGAATGTTTTTTGGATGGTGATATTTTAAAGAATTTCATGACGGTTTAGTATTTTATCGGTGAATTTTCTGAAAATGTCTACCATTCCAGAAGAGCACTCCTACCTTTCTGTTGGAGGCCCCAAAGATGTGTAATTCTAGACTCACCGACTGAAGGAAATTTTAAATGATTTTTTCTAAAAGGCTAAAAATTTAGGACACTCTTTAAAACCAATTTGACTTGAGGTCTCCATAAATAAGCTTTGGATAAAATAATTTTAAATGCCTGGATAAGAACAATGTTTAAGAAAGGAAAACACTGCATAGGTAGCTGAGAATTTCATCGTGCAAAATGGATGGAAAAAATCTATGTAAGACCGAGGTAGACAAAGAATAAGAAACTCTTGTAGGATAAACTGGCATGAAAAATAGCTGTTTACAAGAGCAGCATTAAATATATCAATGTCAATTATAATTTAAAATTAATTATATCAATGCCAATTATAATTTAAATCTACAAATGCATACGTGCTCAGAACATATCAGAAGCTGAAAGATTTATAAGGCGTCCTTCATTCCTTTAAAAGAACCCACTACTATATGGAGCAATCATTAAAAAAGTACATTAAAAGGTTGCGAAAGATTTTGGTTCTCACTGATATCAACATACCTAAAGTTAAAAGATTTTTAAAATGATAGAATGTTCAAAATTCGTGTTGGGGAATTGCACATGACGCACAATTTCTGACCCAAGGATTGAATATGATTCCTTTTACGGTGCAACACAACTTACGGAAGAAAATCGACGGAGGAAGATATTTTGGAGACTTTTAAAGTATCAAGAACTCACAGAGAATTCAAAAAAATAAAACATGCCCAACCTCCTTCCTTCAACAGAAAATTAACACTTTCAGTCTTGATTTATTGCACTGGAAGTATCTTGTTTTTTCCTTTCTATGTTAATAGGTAAATAGTATGTAACGAATAAAAGATACCGTCTTTACAGCTAAGATAAAACATTCGTTGAATAAAAAACTAAATGTTACTTCTTTCACCGGGATATTTTAGTTTCCATTGTCAGAGCGAACAGTCAGAACTAAATTGAATACTTTTAAGATCTGTGCAGTTAACTTACTTTCATTAATGATCAAAACATTTTACAGGATTTTTGGATCACTTTTGACTGAAACTTAACTTAATGTGATGTGATACAATAATTGCATAAAAATTCCTCCTACACAAAGGTATGGGACATGTAATTTTTTGCTATAAGTTTTCTTTAGCTCGATCATTGAATTTCGGATATGCAATTTCAGACTCCGGTGGACAGTAACAGTGGCATGTTGCGGATTGCCATAAATTGCTTGACCTGCGTTTTAAACATATGAAAAAAGATTATTAGGGTGTTCCAGACGAAAACCTTAATAATCGATTTTTTACCACAGATTCAAGTGGGAAACTATTGATAGTCCATGATTCACGCTTCGCCACGGGATGACAGTTAAGAGATTAATCATTTTAAGTAGGGTAAACATTGAAAAGTAAATTCACTCAGTTTGCTTAGTGAAAAGCCTTAAACAGTTATCTTGTAGATGATAAGAACGCTGACTGAACAGGGATGAACGATTGAAATTCTAAGGTATGAAGCTTGAAGCAAAAATTTGATGACTAGAATTGAATCTCTCTCTTTCAGAATAATGCAATTCTATTTCATTGTCACAAGATTGCTGGCAGTTTTCTTCAGTTACCTTTGAACTGGGCAACAAATTTATTTATTTTTTATTTATTTGCAAAGATTAGTACATTAGCCTAAACATAAAGGCTCAATACAAGTCAGTTTGGAAAAAGTTACAAAAAAGAGTAATTTTACTTTAAAAACTCTTGCAAGGTGTAGAGAGGGTTTTGTAAAAAGTGTTCTTTTAATACCTTGATGAACAAATTTGGCGACTCAGCTTTGATAAAAATTTCTTTCAACACTTTGGGTAACTTACAAAACAACAAATAAATAGTCCTACAAATTTCAGTGATTTAGACTTGTAGTTGTAAAAACTGTGCTACGTCCTGGGATTCTATTGTGATCAAGCTGTTGTTTAATGCGTTGCATCAATGTACCTCGTAAAAAATTTTTACGAACCTTAAATTTGCGCGATAAAAAGACAAGATAGGTCTATAAAATTAATAACACCTTGAATAAATTTAAAAAATCAAAGAAACAAAAATAGGATTTTTCAACAAAAGTGGTGCGTTCTATCAACAGTCATTTTACATCCGTTTCTTTGTACTCTTCATTTTTTTGGGATGCTTTCTTTTTAGAGTCATACACTGAGACTTTCATATTTTTTTGGCACAAAACTAAAAGTTTATCAAGGTTTTTTATGTAATCGATGCAATACATTAAATGTGATTTGACCACAATCAGATATCAGCATGAGTTCAGTAATTTTTTTAAATCTTCGCCCCTTGGTTCACAGATGACTGAATGAAGGTTTGCATGCAGTTCTGAAGCAGAGAAATGGAGTTGCACCCTTCAGCAAAGAAAGGACTCAGTTAAGAAAACATTGAAAATTAAATGGTGCAAATACTTAAGTAATACGGCAGAAATTAGGGCAAAAGTCCCTGCTCACTATTTTCAGGAAGATGGAGAAGTTAATATTTCAGGTAAGAAAATTGAATTTTGATTGATTCGAAAGATAGAAAAATCGTGAATTAGCAGGATTAAAAGAAGATTGTGCCAGATGTAAGCGAATGACTAAAATGTTGTGTGCACTTCATAATAATATAAAATGTAAGCCTATTCAGGATACTTGAGTGCAAATGATTTAAGAGTGAATAAGAAAAGGCAAGCGCTAGTTTTTCTCCGGTTTTTTTTACAGGAATCTATTGGGAAAATTAAAAAAAAAAATTCCCATTCACCTTCCAACACATTGACAAGACTTGATCGATACAATCATTTAGCCAATAGAACGCCCTTTCCAAGGATCATAACTACGATTTTTCAAATGAGTACCTCTTCAATTTTTAGAGTCGTACTTAGATAGAATTGAATTATGAGTGTATAAAAACTATTTTCAGAGAATAAATATGGGTGAATGATGAATAGAAAACTGCATGTATTCGACTTCACTAAAAATATGCTCGACTTTAAATAACACTAATACATTAAAATCAATCTGCAGCAGTCCAGTTACATGTATTCCAAGCCACTTGTGAGAGCACACAGTATATGCTTTAAATTATTAGGCATTTTTTTGGTATGTTGGAGTTTTTTAGCCAACGTGCGTTAAATTCAGCATAAAGCTGATATCTGACTACAGAAGAAAAAAAAGCTCATTAATTTTTTTTGTTTTTTTGGACCAGCATAATAAGATGTTGAACACAAGACACAGATGAGACTTTGTTGAGAAGAAATAATTTAGGGGCAAAAAATTCCAAATATTACAGAGGATTAATGAAAGTTGATCATAAACTTGTTCCTGTCCTAGATTTCATTTAATAATAAATCCTAAGAAGTACTGGCAATAATACCCATTTTCTTGGTCAACTTTCTGGAGGAGCGGGACAGTTGCAAGTGTCAGAATTTTAGTCATTATTAGTTTGAAAAGGAAAGTATCAAGTGTTAAAGAGCACCAAGAGGGAGAATGAATGCTGTAGGTTGAGATCACATAATCACAAAAATTCCTCACAATAGGCCCTCTCTTGGCATAATGGTGATATTATGAAAAAAACTTTATGATTGTTTGGAGCTGGGATACTTTGTGGAGATTAATTTGACTCTTCCTACCCTACCTACAATAGAATGGATCACAGCCTTAAGCTCCCTCCTTTAAAAGCGTTATTAAATTTTAAATGCTCAAGAATGTAAATACAGTTGCCTCCTTTCAACTTTGTGGTGCAATTTATTAACTTTGAAAAAACTATTACATGATCCTTCTCAGCACATCTAAAGTTATAAAAACATCCACGTTTCGACTAAAAAATTGAAAATCTCAGATTCTTGCAACAGCCCCTGAAAATTGCTGGTGGTAGTTTGATGAGGGACTTTTTTACGCTATGTTTTGATTAAAGTTTTTTACTTGAGAAGCTCACTAAGCCAAAAAGTTGCTGAGACCCACATTTGAAATGGTACTAAACTTTTTATCAAAGCAATTTTAAAAGTCAACCTGAGCAAATAAAGCTTTTCCAGTTTTTCTAGGAGGAGAAAAGATGTACAAAAGGCAGTTTCAGTGAGGAGGTCTTACCTATGGAGCTTTGAAATTTGGGTAGCGATTCCGGCGAAACTCGATGCGATCGCGTTTACTTCAACCTGATGTATTGCAACAGTGTTTTGCAAAGCATGAGCGAAATAGTCAGATCGTAAAAGCCCAAGACAATAACGCTGCACAAAAATATTTCGACCATGTATCGAGAGGAAGAGACGGCATATGTACATTTTAACAAACACTATCATAAATACAAATCATGGCCCTACCGATGGTGATCGGTGAAAATGTCTGATTTGAATTGCCCGTTTTAATAGGTCCTGTGCACAATGTGCATGATTGTGAGTAAACATTTTTCTTACAAAACGTCTGATGTAATAAAAGATCTTTCGAGATTGGAGACATTCACTCTAAAAAGAGTTGTAACTTTATTTTTGAACTATAATTTTGAATATGGTTAGTTCAAACTTGGAATGCTTTTCAATTTTTTTAAAATTATTACCCAGTGGATGTGCAAATAAAAAGAAGGTTTTGTTGCTTAACAATGCTTTCTGCAATTGGAGGTCGAGGAACCTTTTATTAAAATCGACATTTTGTAACAGGAGCATTTACTACTGGTAGACTTATTTATAACCAGGCATAATAAAATTGACATTGTAATGATGGATATTTTTGGAACGGCTGGACATTTTTCTGGTTGGACATTTCGGAGTGAACATTTTCACCTGTCACCTTACCAATTTCCCATGAACGTCACTGGAATACTCTGTCCGACAGATAAAAACTGCTGACAAATAACACCACTGAGTAAGATTTTAGGGTGATTACCGGAGCTTCTGAACCCCAATCAAGGACTTCAAAAGGATTCTACAACAAATAAATACTGCACACCTTCCTGACTGACTCTTGAGGTAATTTAGATACCTTTTATCAACTCTATGTAAGAATGAGATTGAGATAGATAAAGAGGAAGCCTTTAAAACCTATGAGTTTCAAATCCCTGCATGAAACTTTTCTTGAATTTTGCATAATCATTCCGTAAAAATATATTCAATTCGTTTACGGTGTTAATGAACGTACATTGTGTTTAGACCCTTACGTTGATCAAAATATTCACAGCCACTAAAATTCACTTAAGAACTTTCTTAAATACCTAATTTTTCCAAAATTTTTCTCCTTGATAATGCATTAGAGGCATAGGAGAATGTTACAAATTTAATTTTTTGATGCTTTGAAAAGTTTACTCAGATGAAAGATTCATGGTTGTGGTTATTGAAAATGATGAATAGGTGCACGGAATACAACTATGATTAGGGGTTGTTATGGTGTTGTTTTTAAGATCAATTGATGGATGCTATTCTGTCTTTTGGAAATAGATTTTAGAGCTGTAAAGTTATTTTTGAAGGTTATTATGATGTAGGATTTAATGTAATACGAATCTTTTGTCTTTTTCTGATTAAGCCAGTAATTGCCCTCATAACCACCTTTGCCAGAAAGTGATAATATGAAAGTGATATAACTTGTGACAAATCTCAGCAAAACAAACATACATGCTAATTCAACATCTCAAGTATTCCACAGCTCTGAATTCTTCTCCTGAGGAAATTACAGGTGTTTTCTATCAAAGTCCTATCCTTCATCTAGTGCAACAACGATACCCAATACTCGAGAAAAATATCTTTGAAGCATCAAATGAATGACAATTGTTTAAATTTCCCTACAGTAAACTATTCAACTGCCTGAAAACCTTGCACCATTAGCTGAGAAAACGATCGGTCATCATACTGATAAATAACAAATTATACCAAAAACAACACAAGCACCACACAAGCATAATAACACAACCCAGCACCAAAAATACACATTTCCTGTTTATAATCTGACGTGAAAGAAACAGAAGCAAACAGAATAAATCAATTTCTGACCAACATTCGAAATTCTTGACTATAAAAAAGTGAGATGAAATGATACATATTCAAGTGTGAGGTTTTCTAAATGTACATTTAGCATTCCTGCTGTGAAGAAACATTAAAACTTCATCATTTCAAAAAAACATCGAAAAGGCTCGTCTAAATCTGAATCGTTTCCGGAGAAGAGCTTTCAAAGAATTGGAAAAAGTCTTCAGAAACATATTACTTCTACCCAGCACCGAATTATACATTCAATCAACAGGTCATGCATGATAGATCCTCTTTCCAGAATAAACAGGGAGTTCACAACATACCGCAATTGTGTAATATCTGCATTACAAGAGCAGCTAAGAGATCTTAATAATGCCACAATAAAGGGATGAATGTAATTACAAATGCTTACTCTACCTAGAACTGCTGAAAAATCTTTAAGGTGCGAGGATATATTAATGTAGCTACTGAGAGCTCTTTCAGGAATGAAGTCCTGCCTTTGGGAGGTAAAGGTAAATTTTAAATGATTTCCCATAAGATAAAGACAGACCATATGGAGGAATGTTCAATTAAATATGAGAGCAATACAAAAGAAAAACCTGAAACATTTTAGGACACTTAATGGGTTTTATTAACAGCTAGAATGATTTTTCTTTTCCTAAAAGATCAAATTGCAGATTCTTGTTTTTTTATCTGACTAAAGGTCAATCTTCTCTGAATTTAAATTATAATATGAGTATCAAACAACTTTTCCATTCATCTGTAGTGTTTTGCAAAAAGCTGATGCACCAATGCTAACGGCAGATTTTGGATGTGTATTCCGAGCAAAAAAATCTCTATTGAAGATTCGATGATAAACTTCCGAACAACGAATCTGGGATAGCGGCGTTGCAGACTTCTTGTCATACTATATTTTGTAAATAAAGAACTACTCAACATGAATCTTTAAAAACTTCCGCAATTTTTCTTCTCTGTGTGAAGCGATTTGCTCTGAGAAAACTTCAAGGAATAATGTTTGAATAAGCTTTGTTCTCCATTAGAAAAGTAAGACAAAAGTGGGGATTTTACAACACTGCAAACAAGATACGGGATTTGGGAGTTTCACCATCGAATTTTTAGTTCTTGTCGAAACCACCCAAACTCAAAATTCACCATTCAACTCCGTTGATCTTCGTGTAATGTTTTGTTTTTGGACGATTTGAATTAAACTAGAGTTTCCAAAAGAGATTACTGAGGAGGAAACAAGTAAGCTTTGTTTTCAGACATACTATATGTAGATTCGTTTCCTGCTGATGATTAAAAATAAAACCAGTATTTAAAAAAAAAAAATTATCAGTTTCAAACTATTTAACTTTAATCATATTGGTTGATTGATTTTAAAGTTGGAAAAAATTTAGAGTTTAGATTAGATTGGAAACCTGGGGGACAAAGCCCAAAACATGGAAACTAAGGAGTTTATTATGACCAATTATATACTTCAATTACACCAGTAGAAACTCTGTCCCCCTAAGAAGGAGCGACAGAGCTCAGGCAGGTTCCTTGAGCGGAAAGCAATCATACCAATCAGTTGTGCTCAGTATTTCATGTCTTCTCCTTTCCAGCACCTCACACTCAAAAATTATGTGAGTTTCTGTTTCTTCCTCAACCTCACAAAGTCTGCAAAAAGGTTCAGTCTTCCAGACTCCGATATTCCACAGGTGCTCTCTGAGGTGGTCATGGAAAATCCTAAATTGATATCCCATCTTCACCATAATAACAAAATAAAATGGTTTATACATTTTTTTGTTCACCATAGCCAGCTATTCACACTGCAGAATGTCCCAGCACCACTTAAATTTTTAACATCAACAAGACTAAAAGTTTCTGTTGACGAGGACAAAAACTTAAAGGTACCATAATAAAAGCAAAGATGAAAATAAAAATATGTAAGTAGATTTTCAGCAATGTGGTTGGACGGTTGAACCACAAGGGTTGCTAGCCAGAACAGAGAAGAATAATGTCTGAATATAGCAGAGTTCTCCCTATTCGTCTCCAGGGTAACAGTCATCCAAGTGCTGAATTTAGCTTAGCACTTAGTTGCTTTACCAATTGAGGCTGCCAACAGATCTAGAAATTCCCGTTTTCAGAGTTTCATGCAAAATCCTTCTTGATTCTTCACTTTTACACAGCCCTAACTATTCTGATCAGTTATGAGCATTGAGTGACCGAAACAAATTGCCCTCATCACTGATTGATGAGCCTTATCATGGAGATCATGGCGTTCATTAACGCTGGGTATAATGTCAGGCACTCAGTTTATCGCGAGACAACAGCGCTATTACAATTGAACGTCCAAAATTAGCTTCCAAAGAGCTTTCATCTGTTGCTGCTAATCTCTAAGATTCAACCATTCGACCGTCAAAAACTTTTCTGTGATTAAACAACTGATCCAGTCCCTCCCTCAGTTTAGTGTAGTACTAGCAACCCTGTGGTAAAGTAAATGCTCATTACCGTAAACTACTCATGAGAAAAACCTTTTATAGCCAGAAGAAACATTGTAGGGATAGTTTTGAAAGAAACATATGGGACTTTATTGTGGCTGAAACATTGGGAGACTCTACAACTGAGAGTTCTACAGGGCATTGATTCAGAGAACAAGGCGGAGACTTTATCCCTCTGCCGCGTAATTCAAACATTAGAAACCCAAACCTGTGGATATGCGCAGAAACGGGGCCCAACCATCCAAACCCAGAGGCTATTGTGTTGATCTCAACTTGCTTCTGGCAAAGGAACGGTGTGTAAGGGTATTCGCTATTCTGCAGCATATAATCTGACCGGAGGATACCTAAACTTGAGCGCTTCAAACAGGACGAGGAGACAATGTAGTAGAGACAAGCCGTAGAAAACCAGAAAAAAACTTAACCCAACTAGCCACATTAAATAACAAACCGAGATGCATTGGAATATTGAAAATCGATGAGCTAAAACGTGATGCAGCAACCAAAAGTGCTCTACAGATCTGTAAACTATGTTTATTTTATTCATACTTCCAACATTTTTAAAATAAAATCACCCCAATTAATCTGCAAAAATTGTATAATCTTGTCCAATTTTACACACACACACCAAAAAAAAAAAAAAAAAAAAAAAAAAAAAAAAAAATAGTTCAGTAGCATGAGATTTTAACGTTGATGTTGTGCTGGGGCCCAGCTGGGAATGTGTCAGTATCTGAAGAGTAGAAACTTTCAGGGGTCCAAATTTTCACATTTTTAGAGGCTTATCCTAATTTTTGTAGCCTGGACAAGCGCATGATGGAGTATTTCCTTTACCGACTGTCTGGGTTGCCGGTAATTTTTTCTCAAGTTGGAAGCAGTGGAACCAAGACCTATGCCTAAATTCTTGGGCAAGAATGGAATTGTTACAAGAGCGCAAATGATGCAGAATACAGCCTTAATATTCCTCGCCGGAGTGTGGATTAAGTCTGGAAGAATTTTCCTCCAAGAGGTTTAGGCGTTCATTGACCTTGCTTGTAAGATACATTCCCAATTGGGTCCTACAAAAGGTCCAAAGAAAATTATTAAGGAGCTTTCTGGAAAAAAAGCCAATCCGAAAAATCATGCAATGAGAAAAACAAACTTAATGTTGTAATCACTGTCTCCTAATTGCCGAAGATGACTTGGATCAGATATTCTTTGGACTTAAGTTTTCGCACTGTATGAGGGAACGGTGTAATGGGTGATATCTAAATCTTTTCCCATTTTAGGCGAGGAATTTTTAAAATTCTTTGGCTACAAGCCCTTTCTGTGGGAACGGATTGAAATTCATTGGTTTCCGCAAATTTTTAGAGGGTGCTGTGCAGTGAAAAGGAAACATTCGAGTATGAAAAAAAATTTCCTATTATCATTTACCATTGAAAATGCTAATATTCTGAATTTTTTTTTGGTTGAAAAACAACTATAGTTGGTTTTTTTTCATTTTTTGAGGCACAGTAACATCAACGGATGACACTAAGCTTTTAACAAAATCCCTGAGTTCCTTTCAAAAAAAGTACTTTTTTGACAGGCTCTTTCCTTAGTAAGTAAAAAAAAAATAAAACACTTTTGCACAAATGGTCTTTCTGCTAGAAAGCTCCTTAATTTTTCTAGAAATGAAATCATCACTCAAAAGTTTTAAGTGTATCAGATTATTGAGGGTGTTACTTTCAAATTATTTGACAATTTTGAAGAAAAGTTGAGAATAGGTATAAACTTTTTTCAAAACTAATACAGAGGAAATTCTTGGACAACTCTCTATTAATCCTTTTATTCACCTCTCAGTTACAAATGAGATTTATGATGAGCATAATTCAGACAATTCTTTTAAAATACTGAAATACACACAAGAGTTGAATACTTACCCTCACAAATCAAGAAATTTTCGTGCAAAAAATGTCATCTCAATTCAAAAACTGGACATCATCAACACATCAACTTCCTCCCAAAAGTGCAACAGAAGCCCATAGAAAAAAAAAGTAAAATTTTAAAAGTTGTTTTTTACCTGCGTGATGCCTTCATTTGAAACTGTTTCATATATTTTGAATAGATTTCTAGTGAACTCATCAGCTTCAATTGTACTGAAAAACACAGAGAGAGGAGTTAGGAAAGAAGAATAAGTGCGCTCAAAAACAGAAATTACCAAAAGTTTATGAAGAATCATTGATTTTCAAGTATGTAAGAGTTTTTAAATACACAAAAGTCACAAAATGCCAAAAGTCTGACATGAAGCTCTGTATATTCTTTAATGCCTTTACTTTCAGATTATGAGGGCACCTCCCTCCCTTCCTAATACTAAACTATTTCCTCTCTTAAAATTATAGATCATAAAAGAGGGTGGAGAGGGAAGGGGAAAGAAAGGTTTCAGGCATTTCTTATGACAAGTCACACATCAAAATGTATGTAAACTTGCTCATTCAAAGAACTGTTGAAGTGGATAAAGGCTTGGTTGAAATACTCACAGACCTCAAAAAATATCTCCCAATCATAAATCATGGAAAAAACTACATGCGCTTTAACTAATTTCCGTCTTTTCAGGAGAGGAAAAATTTTAAATTACTCTAAAAACAGATTCATGCTAAAAAAAATTGATTGGATGATAAAAGCATTGGTTTTATTTTTGTTAAAATTTAATAGATCTTCTGTAATCTCTTGGAACAATACTTTCTGAATTGTACCAAAGAATTATAAAACAGAGAACAATAAAAATTTTAGATGAAATTTTGTTCAAATAAGGTCTTTGTCACTGAGGCCACTCTTCCAACTGACTCTCTATTTTTTTTTTCATTTTTTATTCAAATAGACAGTCAAAATTACTTACTTTTTCAAGGTATCTGTTAAAAACTGTCTATTGTGAGCAACTTTATGGATTAACTCATTGAAAACGGTTTGCATTTGTACCACCTGGTGAAATTCGTTCCTCGGGAAAACAGAGGGTAACAATGTAAAAGGTGCAAATTGAAGAGCATCATCTGAGTAATTGTTTTTTGAACGCATTCCAGCTCCTGAAATCAATACAGAGGACATTCAGACAGTTGTTCATTACAGAAAATAGTTCCTTCGACATACAAAATAGAGCTGCCTCTTACACAGAAAACAATATTGAGAGATGAAAAAAAAATTAATAAAGGGTATGATAAAACAGAACTACTGTTCTGTTGAAAATCGATCTATTAATTTACAGCTAAAATCCCAATATATGCTGAGAGGTTAGGGACGGATGAGATGACATGCTGTGGATTCAAGGACAGCGTTGATGTTCAGACAATGAGAAATATATGGGTACATTTTTGTAGTTAGTTGATTATTTTTAAATGCCATGATTTCAAAATTCACAATTGATACTTTCAATGCATTTAATTCCAAATTATACTAAAGTGCTATCTCTACGCTGGGATGAACATCTAAGTACAAGATTGTAAGATTCTACTGACCATTACCTATTACAAGGATTCACAAATGGTGAACAAATGAACTGTTCCCTACTAGGTTGTGTTCCAAGCCCCAAGAGAAAAATTTTACCGAAGATAATTTTAAATCTATGAGTTCCACCGGTAAATTTGGACTATTAATCAAGCATTGATAGGTGTGTCTTCAAAGGCGGAATAAAAAAAAAGTCATCAATTCCAAAGTCAAGTAATGATTGAAATTATTCTCGAGTGATCCTTGCATTAAGCTAATTTCTTCAAACAGACTATCCTACAGGCCGATTTTTGAAACTATGTTGATAAGACAGGATGAGGAAAAGCCACATTTTAATAATGCAGTATAAAGCATTTTGATATCATGTCAGGCTGACATGAATTTCAATAATCGTCCTGCTGAACTTGATAGATGAATAGGAATTGAAACGAATGTGTCCGGTAACTTACCATGCATTAAGGCCCAATCCTTGGTTTTCTGTACCAGGTCAATTAATTCGCGTCCTTCATAATTGAAAGCGATGGGATTTTGAAACCGTGACCCTTCTGTTGTCCTATGAAAGTAAAAACAGATGCTCTGAGTGCACAAAGTATACGGCATTTGAGATCTAAGACGGTAGATATCATGATTTAAGTAGGTATACATCATTACGGAAGAATTTCAGGAACGATGCCCCAGTTAAGAGGGCAAGAAACAGAGAAATCCTTTCCTGGTAGTCTGAGCGAAGTGATTTCATCTAAAAAATTTGGTTTGGTTGGAAGCAGCGTCTCTACCTGCTTACAAACTTTGCTATATAACTGGCACTGATGGCTCACAGCGCTAGATTGTGCTCATATTCATGAATCAACAAAAAACTTCCAAGGTGGGAGGAGATTCGTCTTTTGACACGTGAGTTCGTGCTGAAGAAGTTAATGCACTTTCAAAGTGAGGCGGATGAATTGCTATCTTGATTCTTGCAGTTTCAATGCTAAATTGAAGACAGTCGATCTTCTGCCGCGCGGTAAAAGGGCAGGGACTTTAAATCGAGGAAAAAAGTTTCCTTAGGTCAAGTTGAAAATCAAATCAAGTTTCCTTGTGTCAAGTTGTAGCATCTGGTCTACAAATGTTAGTGACTCATGGCTGATAAATAACTCTGGTCATTGTCAGGTTGTTCCATTCTATGAAGGATTCCTACAAAAAAATTTGCTAAATCATGATTTAACTTGCGTCTCCTTAGACACACTGATTAGTACCAAGACACACTTTGAGACTCTTAAGAAAAAATCAAAATGCAGGATGAAGTCTCCTGCAACTACAAAAGTAGGGAATGATCGATCCTATCAACTTCTATAATTTTGACACATCTGATCCTGGGCGTTGTAGGATGGCTGTGGATGGAGAGTGAGAACAATTAAAATTTTGTTCTTTGGTAAATTCTTCGGACTAATAATAAAGACCATCCGAAGTGGAAAATATGCCAAAAGTACAAAAATCGACCCCTGAAACTTTAGAAAGACCAGTTTAAGGAACAAAGGTATGTGTGAACAAGAAAAGGAAGTAGGAGATAATTGATGATACTCACGCCATGTTGAGGAAGTTGAGGTGGAGACAAGAGAGCAACTGCGTAAGCTAACGCTGCATTCAAATACTTTCACGACGGATTACATCGATCACGCTGATAACTGATAAGGGCGTATCAAGTCGGTAATAATGATAATGGTTGCGGTAATGGGATGGGAAACATAACCTTACCTCTTATCAGTGAGTACGTAGTAATGTAAACATTGCAAGGACCTTGAAACTTTTGAACTTTCGATAGTGGCGCAGCAGGTGGCTCGCTCCGGAAGTATTCAAATAAACAAGTTTAAATTTTCCCCGGGAGTGATCGTCCTCGTGTAAAAAGTACGTAAACTAAAGTTTTGTTAACTAAAGTGTTCTTACAAGTTTTGCATTTTTGAAATGCGTGATGTATACTGATCCGTGACTCCGCGAGTGTTACCAGTTTCTCGGAAATTGCAATATTATGTAAGTATTCCTTTAAATTGTCTTCAGATTCCTGAGCTGCAGGTGGTAGGTATACATACTTACCTACTTCTTGTTAGCCATAGAGTACTCTATGTTGTTAGCAGAAGCAGATCAAAGACTTGTCATCAAGACCAATCCACACGCGCCTGGCCAATTCCTGGCCTGGCCCTAACTCGCAGCACCCATTGTGACGCAGCATTGAGTGCTCTGATAATAAATACATTGCAGGCACTCAATACTACGTCACTGCGCAGTAGAGTACCAAAACTCGTCCTCGGGAATGACTGACCTGTGTGGATTGGTCTTGCTTGTCATTCTTAGGTACTTGGAGCGGAAAGTATGCTCTAATAAATTGGATTCAACGAATGATATTTTAGAGCTAGTGATCCTGGACTGAGTCACCAATTCACTTTACCTAAGTCAATTTAGCAAATTTCAGGGTTTACCTAGCAGTCATGAAGTACTACTATTCCATATGTCGAAAAACAAATTCACCGTCAGGCAGGCACCATTTCAAGAGGTCCTGTGTCAATCAAGAAACCAGTCAAGTACCCTAGTTGAATCGTTAGACATTTGCAAAGAAATCATGTTTTCATTCTCTTAAATACTTATCTTATCGGGTGTTTAATTTTGGATATTTTGGGGGAGTTTCAAGGTTTAGGTATACCTAATTAGGAGATAGCTAGATAAGTACCTACCTCTGCTTTTTCTAAGTTTGAAATGACATGCTTTAAAATACTGTGTGCAGTCGCTATGAAGAAGTGATGCTGCCACCTTCACAAGGTGGTTGTTAACTTTATGCTGTGGCAGGCTTGAGCTTCAATCTCCTCAAACAGGGTTAAGCTACGTAACTCTAATATCATTGCCTGCAGGTGCTGTTTTCTTTTTTTCTTTTTTTTCTGCTGGTTTAATGGCTTCGTGTCTATTACCTTCAGCCAACTTTAGACAATGTTTAATGTCTGTAGACATCGTGGGATCTCCATGCTCCAGGCTTTTCAAATTTTCAGGGATTAGGGCTGAGAAGAATCTGTTTCAGCAGATCTACTCGTCAATTCCGTGAAAATTAGACGAAACCACCGGTATTTGGACCCGGGACCTATTGACCTAGAGTCAGATGCGCTGACCACTAGGCCAACCTGGCCGGCCAGGAGCTGTTGGAAGGTCTCCATTCTTGAGGAATGGTCTCTAATCTGAAGGAGGTCCTGGAAATCCTCACTACACATCACATCTATAACCTACAGACAACTCTTATTCTAACATCATTTCATTTTTTTCTACGGTCTCGGAGGACTCCATGTCTGTTCCTCAAATCCTCTTGAGGTTTCAGGATTCTGGAAAACAGGAAGTCGAAGGTGAAACTTGGAAACAAGAAGTGAAAACTGGAAATTTAAGGTGAAAACCGGAAGTGAGAAGCATAGACATACCTACCTAGGTCATTTTGCTAGAGGAGGGGGGGGGCTGGCTGGCCCCCCATAGGAACCATCTGAGGGTTGCTATGTGAAAAACCTCCCTTAATTTCCATTATACATATTGTTGAGCATTTCTATGGTGAAACTTACAAACCACGTATCTCGGTCTGCAACAATGCGGACTTCCTGTCATACTCTATCTTTTAAAAATGGAACGATGTTGATTTGTTCTCCTTCAAAAAATTAAAATAGGAGGGGACATTTTTCAACTCCGCAAACAAGATACGTAGTTTGAGAGTTTCACCGTCAATTTGGGGCCTCTCTGCCGTGCTAAGGAAGAACACCGTATGCAGTGGTGCCCATCCCCCCCTGAAAAATTTTGAATTCATACGAGTTCCACCCCAAATCTGAATTTCTTCGCCCCTCCACCGGGAGGTCTGGGGGTATGGAATACCCCACAGGCGAGGGGGGGTGAGGGGGGCCTCCCCCGGAAAATTTTGACATTTTTTATGTTATTTGGGGGCAATTTGAGGCATTTCTTTCAGGTTTTCATGTAAATCCTGCTTATTTTCTATTCAGTTTATTTTTGCATGACATTCTAGGGGGAAAATCAAAATTCTAGGGAGAGAAGTGAAAATTCTAGGGGGAGGAGTCAACATTCTACGGGGGGAAGTCAAAATTCTAGGGGGATTGCAAATTCTGGGGAGGGAAGTCAAAATTCTAGGGGGCGAAGTCACAATTCTAGGGGGGAAGTCAAAACTCTAGGGGGAGGATTCAAAATTCTAGGGGGAAGTCACAATTCTGGGGGAAAAAACCAGAGCTCCCCCAATATTTCAAAAGTGAATAGTTGCTCGTATGAAAAACCCGGGTTGGGCACCACTGGCCGTATGAACTTTCGAGAGTTGCCAAACATCCACTCTGAAAATATTCATTTTGAAGAAATTTATCGATATTTCTCCTCGAAATTTTCATACATTTTCGATCAAATTGCAAACTAAATTTCCGGAGAAATTGGAAGAAAAATATTCGCAAATGATCTTTAAAATTAGTGAATTTTCGAAGGAAATTTGGCAACGCCTGAAGATTCATACGGCGGTTTTCCTAAGCACGGCAGTCTCACGGTGACTCTTAAGCGATTCAGGGACGAGATTCGTCTCCGTCGTGTTGCTAGGTGGCTCCTGTTTTTGAGAGGCAATAATAGGACGTTGCATGTGTGAGGAATTTGCGATTTGACCGATGAATCTTATGTAAAAGTTCGCGAGGAACGCGATGGTGCCACTGATTTATCTGAAATCAACTCCCAAGCTCAAAAAAAGCTCTCAAGTTGAGGCCAAAATGGAGGGAATATCCCACGCTATCCTGAGAGTCCACCTCTACATCAAAATGATCTCTCCATGCAAAGATAGGGAGCAAATACATTAGCAGGGTTGCCGTGTCCCCGTGTGTTGGAGTCCCCAAATAAAGTGGCAGCCCTGTCAATATATTTGCTCCCTATCTTTGCATGGAGAGTTTGTCTTGATGCAGAGGTGGACTCTCAGGGTAGCGTGGGATATCCCCTCCATTTTGGCCTCAACTTGAGAGCTTTTTTCGAGCTTGAGAGTTAATTTCAGAGAAAACCAGTGGCACCATCGTGTTTCTCGCGAACTTTTACATAAGAATCAACAGTCAAATCGCAAATTCCTCACACATGTAACAGCTCCATTATCGTTACGCACAGGTTAATGCAAGAAATTGATCCATAATGCGTAACAGCATCGAAACTGAGTAGAATGATATATGAAGATTAATCGAAAATGAATATCGGAAACCACCATAATCTGATATCATCCTACTTGGTATTAATGCTGCTACACGTCGCACATCCAGGGTCGGACTGGTTCACATCTGCAGGCTGATTATTGAAATCGATAGACAAAGCAATAGACAAAGAAGACAAACTGAAAATGTAGCAATCCTATTGGTGGAAGCGGGTGGTTGCAATGGACAAAGGAGCTAAGTAATAGACTAACTAACAGCAACCAACGAGGGACCCTGTAGTTAGTCCATCATTTCCCCCTTTCGTCTATAACAACCACCCGTATCAACCAATACAATCGCTCCATGTTCCCTATGTCTCCTTTGTCTGTAGCTTTGTCTATCAATTTCAATGATCAGCCCGCTGCGGGCTGATCATTGAAATGGACAAACAAAGCGATCGACAAAGAAGACATAGGATAAATGGAGCGGTCCTATAATGGTTGAAATGGGTGGCGTCTATAGACTAAGGGAGAAAATGATGGACTGACTGATGGGTCTCTGGAGGGTTGCCGTTAGTTAGTCTATTACCTATCTCTTTTTTCCATTGCAACCACCCGCCTCCACCAATAGGATCCCTCCATATCCCTTTTGTTTTCTTTGACTATAGCTTTGTCTATCAATTTCAATGATCGGCCCGCTGAGGGTGTCGACTCGTGGCTGGTTAAAGGGGCGTAATGTGATATTTACCGGCAGGGCATCCCCCACGTGGAGGGAGTTCAAACCATTTTGGGAAAGCAGCACAAGTTTACGCTATTTTCAGGTTCAAAGTCGATTAATTGTGTAGAGTAAAACTTGCAAAATTGAACGTATTCAAGTAACCGATAGACTTCTGAAATTACAGAAATAATAAAATATTGAGGCCGCCAGACGCATCCAAGCACCATTATTTCCAAAAGAACCGAGCAAGTGCTCGAGCACGAGCTTTTACGAGCATCAACACAGCCGAAGACGAGAGAGACGTATTCGAGCCTCTTTTTTAACTTTTCTCCCGAATCTGAGAGACACTTCATTGACAGCGTGTGTATAGCAGAGCATTGAGAGTTCACGCATCGCGTCATCGCGCCTTCAATTTTTCAGATGCAGCACGGACGTCCATCACGTACGAATAGTTGTATCTCTGTGTCGTCGTCAACGCACACCCTTTCCCTCGCCCTATTTCCATATTGTGTTCGTTTCCGTTTGTCTTATTTGTCGTGGTGCTTAAAGGACTACGTGAGTTACAGTTACTCACGAACGAGTAACACAGCCGAAGGTAGGGCACATGTATTAGGGCCTCGTTTTTCAACTTTTCTCCCGAATCTCACCAGCAGTATAGAGCAGAGCATTGAGGGTTCACGACTCCGCCATCGCGCCCTAAATTTTTCAAATGCAATGTGGACATCCACCTTCCGCGAATAGTTGTATCGTGTTTAGATGTCTATCATTTTTGAAATTTGAGATTAGTTAAGGTCAAGTTTGCTTAAAATATGCCATAGTATGTCTCAATCAATAGTCATTTTGAAAAGGAAGAAGTATATGTAAAGGTCTCTCAAGAGCTCTGTAAATGGTGCATACGTCTAAAAACCGATAACTGACAATCGCTTCTAAAGGAGTTACACATAGGCCATGGTGAAAGCTTTTAGTTTCGGGACTCCAGCATTCTACTGTTGACTTACTTACATGGTTGATGTCCAACAACGTGTTGGCAGTTTCGTTTTGCAAACAAGCATAAAATGGCCGAAGTTTGGGAAACTTGTTCGGCTCATGACGTCGCCCGAAGCTCATCATCCCCCATGTAGGCTGGTCAACAGCCGA